ATCGTTACTATTATTCAACCTAATTCTCATGTAACGAAAATGTTACGGTAGATTATTTCGAGCTGATTTATAATATTACAAGTTGAGGTACCCGTCCTTTGTCCTGGTTATGAGCTTAAAAATGTGGGTGGTGGATGCAATTATAAATAAAAAAATTATTTATAATATAAAATTACGATATTCATTATTACTTCAATAAAAATGTTTATAAGCTTTAAGAACACACTATGTATATACTTAAAACATGGTATGCATTGTGCTATTGTCAGGGTAACTTTGTAAGAAGAGGTAGCGGAAAAAGTGGTGGCGGTAAGTGTGCTTTCTGTTACCCGCTTTCAACACCCAGCTCTTGATGTTCTTCCATATTGTTTCACATTAATTAATTGTAGGTCGTTGGCTGCAAAAGTTTCTTACGGGCCGAAGTTGAAAGGTCATGGGTCAAAGTAAGAAGTGGGTAAAACTCAAGAAACGGCTCTTTATATCAGCTTTATGGTGACTGTGGGAGTAGAAACATCAGCTGAGTCTAAGTATTATTGCAATAGTGGTGGCCATTTTTTTTTCATTGAATTCCTCCATAGTGTGTGCTAGCAAAGTCTCCGAGATATACAAGACGTTTGTGTGCCCTCCCTCACGCTGTGTGTACGTTGAGTTATAGAACATTTAATAGTTTTTTTGTTTTGATTTGTGAATTTAGTTAACCTTAACTTACGTTCATAGATCATAAATGCTCAATAACAGCAGTAATGCGGGTAAAGGGTGGTTGAGATTCTCCCAATAACATGCCCCTTGTTCCAAATTATCATCCCACAAAGTTTGTTTGAGATTCGTCCAGCGACCTTGGAGTGGTTAGATAACTAACAGACAGACAAACAAACAGACACACATATTTTCGTGCTTCACATATATAGATAGAAATATTACATCCAGTTATGCTGCTCGTAGTTATTCATCAGTAAAGCCTTTCTGCAAAACGTGTAGTTAGTAACATGCTTAAAAATTTCGGCTTTGTTAACAAAATATCTTAATCATTATTGTACAACGCCTTTATCATAGCATTATTGTTCTGATACGGTGTTTTATTGTCCTTGACTTGAATAATTGCTAGTATTCTGTGACACACACCCTGAAGTAGGATCCAATAGGAGTTTGTTTCAGTTTACCTCCAGTAATACTATTAAAATCTCAGCTGTTTGATGACTCCTGGAAAGCTATGATCTACCTTTTAGAATTATCTCGTCCAAATGATCCTAGGTATGCTTATACTGTTTTACAAGAGTTCGAGACATTTAAAAAAGGAATAAAAGTATCATATGAAAATCAAGCACGAGTTACTTTGTGGCAAAGAGGATGCATTGACATTCTGGAATAACATACAAGCCTTCTGATCAAAAAGCTGGACTATAGCTCTTGGAACGTATTCTTTTAGGGTCTCTTGAAATGTTTCAGGTGTGTGTGTGTGTGTATGTGTGTGCAGATATGTTTAACAACCTACCTGCCTCCACAACGTATGTTATCCTTATTACAAATCAACTACTGGGTGAAGCGCCTCTCGTTACTTCAACAAATGTACTACTAATCGAAGCAAAACGGTGACTAGCATACTTAAATGGAAACTCTACCAGCCGTTTCAAAGAGTCCGTTTACATATGTACACACTGTGTGCACTAAAGCTGCTATGGATTTGTTAAAAAGATGATTTCCTGCTTTTTTTACAATCATTGCAAGTGAATTTGTTCGTCTTGCTTAAAAGGATTACCAACCGACCCTGTTTTTTTTAGTGTTTTTCTATTGTTCAATGGTTTCATAAACAGTAAATCCCGCGTAACCAAGAATTACGACTATTTCAAGTATCAGTTTTCTAGATTTCCAGTAGCTTAAAACGTTTCCTCTTTCATATTCACTAAAATCACAATGTTTCAGCATCTTGCGTCTTTCTATTTATATTTAGTGAGTTCGCTTGCAGGATATAGTAAGTGGACATACAATATTACAAGGACGTATAATACTTTTAGAAAAGTAGTACGTTATCTTTCAATACGATATAATTATTTTCCTTTATTTTTTACCTTTTTCTTCAATTTTGAAATATATCCAGATATATGAATTACCTATTTTATATCACAGAATAAAACTTATATTTACACTGTGTTCATTAGTTGCGAATTAAATTTCTGTTTTTGGAAAGAAAAAGTAGTATATCACTCACTCTGGCTGGTTGGTTGGTAAATATTAGAATATATATAGGGAAGACCATAGTGAGGATTTATAATGTTAAACTGATAAAACGATCGTAAAAGAACGTCTTAGTTTGTTTGTAATTAAGCACAAAGCTATACAAGGGGCTATCTGTGCTCTGCCCACAACGGGTATCGAAACCCGGTTTCTAGCGTTGTAAGTCCGCAGACATACCGCTGTCCCACTGGGGGTGGGGGGCGAACGTCTTAGTTTTAAAGAATATTTTGGTGTGTTTCTTGAAGATCCTTTGCCTTTCATTAGCGGAGTTTCTATGAAAAACCCTGTACAATAAATATGCATTGACTATATTGTTTTAATGTGTTGACTACCAGTAGCTCAGTGGTAAGCTTAAGGGCTTATAACCTAAAATCCATATTTCTATACCCGAGAGAGCTCATTATATAGGTTAGCGCTTGAACCCCAAACCATTTCATGTGTTCTATTTCAAAGTCTCATACGTCAACAATCTGACTAGTTCTAGAACAACCTTCTACAGCTCCTAAACTTTATAATAAACAAACGTTCTGTGCACGTTGTAATGAAAATATCAAAAATTTCTTTCTCAAGCTTAAAAGCTAGATAGAATATATTGAAGACCAAAGTAAGTCAGTCCAAACCGCACCAGAAATAGGCATTTTTATTGAGAGCATTATAATCACACACTCAGCTTGTCTTTCTAGTGGAAAAAAAAAAGAAATATTGTGCTCATCATGAAATAAATTACCACTTGAAAATTTGACTTTAAAAAAATTTCCACCTTCAGTAACCAGACAGTTTCGTTATATAGGACACGAAGTCGCCATTTTAAGCCAAGCTCCTGTCGTTCGTAAGAATAATGATTTGCTTATTCATTCACTTGTGATAACTTATTTTTCGTTTGGCATCCGTGTTCATTTTATTCTTCGCTTAACATTTTCTGTATTTGATGTCTATTGCAGATACATAATGTTATAGCCTTTCTTCATATGGTCATCAGTTTGTTTTTCGAAGAAAGCTAAACTTTGGTAATTAATTCCTTGAAGATTTATAATGTTAAACTGATAAAGGGATCGTACAAGTAGTCTTAGTTATTAAAAACATTTTGTTGGGTTTTCGAAGTTTTGATTTCTTTTATTGACGGGATTCCTATGGTTTGCTCTGTATAATAAACAAGCATCGACTATATTATACTTAATTTGCTGGCTCTCAGTGGCCCAGGGTAAGATTGATGGCTTATACGCTAAAAACCAGTTTTTAGACTTTGTAGCTTCGCATTTAAAAATCACTCATTAAAGTATCTATGTATGTGTTATCTATAGCAAGAGGCTCTCTGCAAG